ACTGTCTCCTGGGGACAGCTGTTCTCATGATACAACTTTGTGTCTTTGGCCATAGTCTTGTGTCATCTTCCCCCTGTACTTCTTTTCTCCTCTGTACAACTCATCATAATCTGTCAGTTTAGGAAGCAGTCTGTCCGGGTTGCAGTGTACTCGAGTTTTTTAGTTTGCGACCCATGCTCAGTTGTGTAGGAGAATACCCCTTTGGAAGGGGTGTGTCCCGGTTGGTCAAAAGTGCCAAGTACTCATTATTAAGTTTTGTCTTCATGGTCTGTACTGCCCGCTCGACCTCGACATTGGACTGCGCACACAGTGGGGACGATGGAACATGTTCGTACCCCCAAAGTGCTGCAAACTCTTTAAATTCTGTGGATGCAAATTGTGGGCTGCTGTCAGTGATAGGGTATCGCATATACCATGTGTATCAGCAGTATTGACACCCCTATATACAAGACATATTTCAACATCGTTTGAATAGTAATCTTCCACAAGCAGGTAATTGTGACCTTTATGGATGAAGAAGTCTGTCGCAACTAATCCCCAAAGTATACCCCTCATGGGCTTGATCTTTTCTGTTCGAAACTTTGAGCACATGTCGCAGTTCTGCACCATCTTCTCGATGTCACATGAAAGCGCGGGCCACCAGACGGAAGAGGCTGCATTTCACGTGTCTTTGTAATACCTTATAATATCTGAGGGTTTATGGAATGACTAATCTTCTTCATCTGAGGAGCAAGTCGTTGTGGATACTAAGGTTGCCTCTCTCATTCCAATATTTTGCAACTGGTCCGCACAGTTTACGCTTGTCAGTAAGGCCATCCTTGCTGGGCATACTGCATAACAACTTTCAAAGTGTCATCCTTCTTTAATTCGCGCTTTATTTTGTCCAGACGCAGGCCTGAGGCTGGTAATGTTACCTTGACAGCGTTAACAACGAAATCTGGTTCAGTTTCTAGGTCACTTTCTTTCCCCGGAGAAGACTTCCCAGGGCCTCGAGAGAGCGCATCTTCAGCGTAGAGTAGTTTCCCTGGGACATGTTCCACTGTAATGCTAAACTGCATCACCCGCATGCGGAATCTTTGGATCCTTAGTGGGAGCTCGTCAACTAGCTTTGTCGTGAACAACGGCACTAGCGGTTTGTGGTCTGTCTCACTTTAACCTTTGGTCGCCCGATGAGGCAATTTCGCCAATGTTTTAGAGCCTAAGTTAGTGCCAATGCTTCTTTTTCGATTTGGGCATATCTGTATTCGGCATCTGTCATGGACATACTGGCGTATGCGACTGGTTTAAGTCCACCCGTAGGTTGCTTCTGGAGAAGGACAGCGCCTAATCCGTAGCTACTGGCATCAACAGACACGATAGTTTCGTACTCTGGATGGTAAATTGAAAAGAGGCGGTCAGAAGCCAATTCTTTCTTAAGATAGGTGAAGGCATCTACTTGCTGTGGGCCGCACAACCATGCAGTTTTGGTCCTGAGCAAATCTCTCAGAGGTTTGGTGTGCTCAGCCAAATTAGGGCAGAACTTCATAAGCTTGTTTACCATTCCAAGGAACCTTCACAATTCTGCTACATCACGTAGTTCCGGAAGTCGATAATGGCCTGAACTTTGGAAGGATCTTTTCAGATTCCATGTCCATTAATAACCTGTCCTAGGTACTCAAGCCTGGAAACAGAGAATACGCACTTTTTAAAGCCAGGGTAATGCCTTCTTCCTGAAGACGATCCAGTCAGGCTCTTAGCCGGTCATGATGGTCTATTTGGTTACGACCAATCACCAAGATATCATCAACCAGACATTTAACACCAGGTAAGCCTTTCAATATCTGCATCATTCGCTTTTGGTAATTAATACTCAAGAGCTGAGGAGATACCATATGGTAGCCGTTTGAACATAAACCTTCCAAAGGAGGCAGCATGGCCGAGTGGTCAGCACTTCGGACTCGCAATCCGGCGACCCATGAGTTCGAGTCCCGCTCTGGCAACTTGCTGGATTTACCTCCTGCCAGTTGGGGATTTTAATCCAGTTATGTTGTATTTGAATTATTTGTTTCTAAGTATTTGAGTGGAGTGTCTGTAAACTAGCTGGATAAGTGCACTTTCCACTATAAACAAGCCTTTAAACACTTTTTTTTATCAAACTTTAAAGTGTGTAATAAAGGTTGTCAGCTTACGGCTGTTGGAATTTAGAGTTGGCGTCTAACTTTGAGCACACAGCGCCTTCGTCAATGCTTCAAAAAGTACTTTCTACTGTAGGCATTTGGTAATGTTCTCTTTTAACCACTTGGTGTAACTTTCTCAGATCAACACACATCCGTATGTCTCCATTCGGCTTCGGGACAACTACTATAGGGCACACCATTCAGTGGGTTCTTCAGCTTGCTCAATGACACCCAGAAGAGTTAAGCGAGTAATCTCTTTCTCTAATTTCCCGAGGAGGGGTAACGGTACTCTTCGAGGGGAGGTCATGCAAAATGGTTTCGCATCATCAATCGAATGGTGTATTCTCCTTTCAGCTTGGCAAGCCCAGTAAACAACTTTGGGTAGCTTTTAGAACATCTCTCGAGCGGAGAGGAGGTGGTGGTACCTGTAGTTCAATAGCTTTTATGGTGTATGTTCCTGGGATATCATGAATGAGTCCCAAATAGCGAATAGCGGGAATAGCCAGCAGTAGTTTTGGTGTACCCCTGATAACAAACACTTTCTCTTTAACTACATTTTGGCGATGTTTTAAAGGCCTCAAAATACCCAACTGCCACTAGCTGTGTGTCCCCTGTATTCGAGTAGGCCCCTATCAGGTGCTGATGGCTTGCCATATTTAGGCTTGTAGCCTGACTCTGGAACTGACTGATACCTAGGCTCCAGTATCTATGCACCAGGTAAAATCTACATCTCACGACGGGATCATTATTGGCTGGTGTTGAGGCAAATTTGTGTGGGTTACTTGATTAACCTATTCCGTCTTAGAACTACGGCAAACAACAGCTCAGTACCCAGTTTTCCTGCATTTCAAACAAATGCATGTGTTTGGCTGCTAGACAGAACCTTCTTACCCGGGGGATGTTCTAGGTTGCAATTACCACACCCTTTAGATCTAATAGCATCGATTGTTGCTGAATTTGATCCTTGCAATTCTAGACGGGAGGTTTCTTTGAGAGAGAGGATCTGTATTGCTTTCTCAAGAGACAAATCTGCACCCTGATCATACAATTTCAATTTTGAGGGATCGTTAGTACACGAGAAAGTAATCTTATCTCTTATCGCTTGTTCATGGAACTCCTTTAACAACTTGCATTCATTAGGCCTTTCCCCAAAAAGTGTTCACCAACGAGTCAAAACTCTGCTCTGGATCTCTCTTCAAATGCAACCAAAAGTTCTCTCTCAACACTGACTGGGGATCACGCTCAGTAAAATGAGCATCAAACTTGCCAATCGCAGTGGCGTAATTGTTCCTGTCTTCTCCAGGAATTCGAAATTGTTCTTCGCCTTCTTCGGTGCTTGGAGTCGTTGGGCGAAATGAACATTTCTGTATATTTCAATCCCTCGCTCGCCGTTGTGATTAAGAAGAGGGTCCACTTTTTGAGCATCCGGTTTTGTCGAATTTCCGGTAGCCTGTAATTTCATATGTTATACTACTACATGAGAAATTTCTGTAATCTGATTGGCTTAGAGCAGTGGTATTTCAGCTTAATTTGAAATACCTACATGTGAAAATTACCGAACCTTTTGTGGGTAGTAGTATAAACAAATAATAGCATGATTTGCACGTGATATTTGGCATAAATACCACTCGTATTTCAAAATTGTCTCAAATTTCACTCGCCTAACGGCTCCTGAAATTACGTATAACAATTTCGAAATATCACTCGTGGTATTTATGCCAAATATCACTACAAATCATGCTATTACCTATACTAATCTTCATTTTTCCAAGGAGTGGGCAGGATTTCCGCTATAAATTTCCAGTGGCTCCGGCAGCTTTACGGACATCTCTGCCATATTGATCCGAAGCATATGGTCGAATGGAATCGGCCGATAGTGACGACTCTGCGTTTTCTGACGTTTTGTTTGGTATTTAGTCGTTACTCACTGGCACTGTGAGGAATTATCCCGCTTCTGATACCATGTTCTAAGGGCCTGTTTATAAGGAGAGAGGGTTACCCTTGTGGTAGGGTTACGCTAACAGGAGGGTTAAAGTTAGCTGTGGTTTACAAGCAAATTTCACACGCAGGGTTGCCATCTTTGCTGACGTGTTTGGTCACGCGTAACATTCTTTGTAACGGTGGAAGATTTGAAATAATCTTGATGTTCTCTCTCTCTTTTTTTCTTGCTAGGATACGTAGCCCTACCTGCCTTGTAAACACGTCGTGTAAAAAAAGAAGAAACGTGTGAGTGCTAGGGTAACCTTAGAACCAGGGTTACCCTCCCTCCTTGTAAGCAGGGCCTAAGACTTAGATACTGCTACGCGCGAAGACAAAGAGAAGACAAGTTCAACTTCACACCTTGCGCATGCGTCCTGGTTCGTTACGAGGCCGCGCTTATACCACAATTTCCAAACACAACAACTTTATCTCAAAATATCTCCATAACTTTATCTCAAACTATCTCCATAACGCTCTCATAGATTTCGCTCAAACTTCGCAAACATTGAGCGGCAATTGGAGAAAAAAGCTCCCGTGAATTTTGGAAAAAATGTTTCCAGTGCCAAGTTATACGGTTGCAAATAAAATAAGTAATGGGTCATTTCGTTGCCATAAAAACCCTGATTTCATTGCAACCCTGATCATGTCAAATTTTCATCTTTATCTAATACAGCTGTGATGGTAATTTTCCCAAATCTTTATTAGTGGCGACGTATTTAATGCTCAAACTTGGGAAGTACTAACCCTGAAAAACCCTATCGAGTCGCGACGCAGCTAGGAAAACGCAGTCGTTGCTCCGTTCTCACAGACAGCTACTCAGATGGTTACTATGGAAACGGCATAAAATGACTCGTGAGTTTTTTTGCACATCAAAGTTTATTTCTGCATGTTTACGAAACACAGCTACAATGACGAAGGACTATTAAAGGTTACTAAGGTTCGATGCACCATCTTCCTACCGTAAGAATACATGGAATAAACTACGGAGATAGTTTTCTAAACCTGTGGCATGGAAATACTTCTCCAGCACTTCACTCCTGTAATTCGCGCGCGCTCATAATGTAACTCAAAGCAACCGGCGCGTTTGTCATTTGTTTACGAAAAACCGACGAAAGGAATTTGTAACAATCTTCCTGTGCATTCCTATTCCAGAAAACGATCAATCAAACCAAGACTCTTACTTCAGCTCCCTATATAAAAGATAAGATGACTCCTACAATTAAGGGTTATAAATTCGAAACGTCTATTCTTACGATCATTTATGATAATTTTTCACTGTTTTGTGATATTTTGTTTATTTAATTTCCATGAGGTATCTTGTTGCACGAGTCACGTACGTATCTCAGACAAATTTTTCCGTTCACCTACTATACACAACATAAATATCTATGTACAAAAATACATTGAGAAGTCTAAATCCAAATCAAACCTTTCAAGTAGCCACTTGACGTACAGCTACAGCTAAAAAATCTCTTTTACGGCCTTTTCGTAAAAAAGGCCGGTAATAAAGCTTGAAAATTATAAGAATACTTACGGTTACACAACCCGCATAAAAATATTATAGCAAAACTATAATACATGTATAGCAGGCAACTAACGATAAATACTAGTTCGAGGTGTCTCACGCCACAACAGGGTTTATAGAAGACAAAAGATAAAAAATATGGAAAAACTGTCTTCTTTTATGTACAGAATGGATTGACACTTTTCTGAAATCTTCCATAGATACTAAAAAATAGGTTTAGTCTGACATGGGTAGTCTCTTATCGGAAAAAAAAAAGAGGTCTCGATAAAACAACCCTACCACCTTATCACTAGATGGCTGAGAGTACGTTATGCGGATTCTATTCCCCTACTCCGAATCTATTTTCCGAAAAAAAAGACAATTGTTAAGCGACCAACAAACCTTAACGGGTCCTTTTCCTTTTCCAGCTCAAATAACTAGCTTTGAGATCGCTGAGCAGCTTCGCGTTCTTTCGTCGCGATATGTCTTCAGAGGAAAGCATGTCGTAAAAAATTGTTATGAAGTAGTCAAAAGCCCATTCATCATCAATATACAACTTTCGAGCCTCTCTCTTGTTTGTCAGCCATTTCGGAATCAGACGGTGAAGAAAAGTAGCCGTCTCTGCCAGCACAACAAAGTGAGAAAGGGCATCGATTATCTCCTGCTCGTTAATATTTGAATCTTCTTTTTCAATAACATAAGAAATAAACGATACGGGGAGAGGGTGTGGTGCAGCTAAAATGCAGCCCAGTAACTTCCTATACAGATTTTCCCCCAATTTATCGTAAAGACGCTGTAAATTCGTCCTAATAAAATTTCCAAGGTCACCCGAAGGAAGACGCCTTGAGTGTGAAGAATCGTTGAGTAACTGCGAAATGTAGAGCGCACATAGGAACAGCCCATTACACATTTTCGTGACGTCTTCCGCTGAGAATGAATGATTGGAGAAGTCTACTCGCTTTTCTAAAAACCGCTGAATATCCTGTTCGTGTAGCTGATAGAAGCTGTTCTGCCCACTGTTCCCTGTACAAATCCTAACACAAGGGTTGTACCCCTCCAATCCGCTTTGCACCGTGTCTTCAGGGCGACTGGTGATAAAAAAATAAATCCCTTGGGGCAACCGGGGGAAACGCTCTCTTATAAGACAAAGAAAATCATCCCTGGACTTATAATCGGTCTCGTCCAGAGCATCAATGATTACTAATTTACGCTGCAAAATTTGGCGGCACTTACCTAGTGGCTCTTCTAATAATTTCGTACATAGTTCCAGAACCCCTAAATTAGAATTAGCTAACATTATTCTTACCCCATCCTTCCCCCCCATTATATGATTGTACTCACTGATGCAATCACAGAGTTGACAAGCTATGGTCCCAAGAAGATTTCTGGGATCATTCCTAGTACGGTCATTATAACGGCAAAAATAAGCTGCCCCTAAATTTCCCGCTTCCCTCATCCGCTTTGCTAGAGCTCCAGCCATGACACTTTTGCCTACTCCTGCATCACCAAGAAGAAAATAGGCTTTGGAGTTTTCTCGTGGATTACTGAACCAGTCGTCAAAATCCTGAAACAGCCACTGCCTAGTATCTTTATCCTGGCGCTCGGCAAAAAATTCGATGTCTCCTTCACAGTTGGCAATCTCTGCATTAAAAAAGAATTGATTAGCTGGTGATACACTTTGTGAAGTTAAAGAGGAGCCTTTTCTCCTGTTTAGTTTTGTTTAAGCTTTTTCCTATCTAAACAAAGCCGTACAACAGGAAATGGTGTAAATGTAATGAAAAAGAGCGTGGCTAGGCCTAAACACAAATGTCCCAAACAAATCGCCTGAATATGTTTCCGTAAATTCCCAATGTCTTTTTTTAACTTCTAATTTTTCTCTTAAAAACTCGAAAACATTCAAAATATCTCCTAAATATTTGCCTTTGTTTTCATAAACATCAGTATTAAACTCAAAAAGTAGCCTGTCTTTTAAAATGGCGTCATAGTGTGACTCAGATTGAAGTTCTGGGGCCCGTTTCTCGAAAGTCCCGATAATTAACGGGCCCGGTAAGCTGTCTCCGTTTACATTAAAGATCGAGGTTTCAATAGTTTTGCATCTAACCCGATAAAACTGTCAGTTAATGAAACAAAATGGAGTAGTTTGCTAGCCAGGACCCGCGCTCTTATTCTCTATATTTCGATTTGAATATTTGATTTCGGGCCCGTAAAGTTACCGGGACTTTTGAGAAACGGGCCCCAGGTCCGTTATCTGGAACAGTAATCACTGCATGTGCCCTTTTAACATCCGCCATTTTGTTGAACAGGCTAACGCTTGCATAAGTAAATAGTAAATGGAGAATGCTTAATCTGATTACTGCCGGTCAATATGGGGAGCTGTCACTGTACTACCCGCGCCCTAAGTAGCACTGAAGTAGCTTTTTTCTCAATTTGCCTGAGAAAACATGATTGAAAAAACACCTCTGCAAATAACGCATAAGGCAAGACGCCGATACCGAAAAGAGAAACAAAAGACGTAAGAAGGCGAGGATTTACAAAACATGGCAACATAAAGGAGTGTTCCAGCTCCGTAGAAAAGAAATTTATGCATGCAATTAGACAATTCATGTACTAAAAACTAAAAGAGGTCAAAAATTTGTGGGAACATCATTTCAGGTTTTGACGTTGGGTCGAACACGTTTTTTAATTAGCACTGAAGTAGCTTTCTTTCTCAATTTGCCTAAGAAAAAACACGATTGAGAAAACACCTCTGCGAATAACGCATAAGGCAAGACGCCGATCCTGAAAAGAGAACTAAAAGACGTAATAAGGTGAGGATTTACGAAACATGGCAACATAAAGGAGTGTTCCAGCTCAGTAGAAAAGAAATTTATGCATGCAATAAACAATTCACGTGCTAAAAACTATAAAAGGTGAAAAATTTGTGGGAATATGATTTCAGGTTTTGACGTTGCCTCGGACATGTTTTTTAAAAACTCGTTTTCTTCTGTGTATATGGAAAAGTATTTTTTGGCAATTTAAACAAACTTATGGCAAAAATTCCCCTGACAGATCCCCTTGAAGGCCTTCACTGGTCGTATCGACCATGGAAGAATTAGCTGAGAGAAAGTCTAAAATGTTTCCTTAAGTGTTACATTTTTTCTAAATCTCATGAGACTTTCAAAAAATCTAACAGTCCTTTAAATATCTAAAAAAAATATCTGGCTATTTGTGTCTAGACCTGGGCGTGGCAGATTTAAAATATGCAGTAGGAATTAAAGACATAGTTGATTGTTTAATTCTACACATTAAACACTGCGTTGGTTTGGATCTGTTCTGCGACTTTGTTCGTGTTGAAGTCCAATCGATACTTCAATATTAAACAGTCAACAGATTAATGTTTTTATTACCATAAGTAATGCAAGGGATAGCAGAACTTTTTTTTTCAGCTTCCATTTGTGTCAACCCTTGCTGCACGTTGCCTTGATGTGAGTTCAGAGATCTCAAAGTTTCCTCTATAAAACTCCGGGAGTCTTCCAGACAGTCCGCCCTACGCTTCTTGCCAACAGCTGGTTTCTGCACATGGGTAGCACTATCCGTGGTATCTAATGTGAAAGAAATAAAGAATGTTATGTTCTCTGAAAATGCAACGTGGTTAAAAACAAAAATCATCAGATTGGAATGTTATGGTTGTGTATCGTTGCCATTTACCAAATAGTGTACATGTGCATGTGCGCAAAAGTTTACTGCAATGATTACCCGCCCTGTGCGGACATTGTGTCGTAAACGAACAGTTCTACTTAAATACTGGTTTGACTGGTAGATTTGTGAAAAAATCTCGAAACCCTGATAATTGCATATGTTGTTTCAGATATTCCCAAATTTAAGGTGCTGTTTTAAAGAATATTTTAGTCCTTGAGGTTAAATTTGCCAAAACATTTATTATGTTTGTTACACACGATTAATTCAATCATGGTTGATCTTGACAGTATTGGTTAATAAACTGGTTTTCTTGGAGTGATAAGGCGATATTCGGTAAAGAATACTACAAGTGTCAAATATTTTTTTTAAAAAAAGAACGTTTCGGGTTTATGACCCTTCTTCAGGGTCAGAAAAACCGCGGTGTTCTCCCTAGGTATTTAAGGCTAGGCGGACCGCCTGGCTTAATTCACTGCAAAATGGCTGCCGCCTGGCCTAAAAACCAAAGATTTAACCCAACAGAAACTCATGGTGACATCTAGAAGTTGGTATTTCAAAAACAACATCACTCAATAAAGTTGATGAAACATCTTCTGGTGTTTGTCAGTATTTGCTGAGTGTTTTCTTGCAATTAATCGATTATAAAAGTGATTTATCGTTGGATGAATATTTTCAAACTTGTGATAAATTGGTTTTGCTGAACGCAAACGGCAGCCACCACATGCGGCCATTCAAGAACTCGGCTTAGATGAAGTACTGAATGAAATTCTTCACTCGTATTTTAGGGAGAGTCAAAATCGAGAACTCGGTCAACCATGCAAAGATGTACGGAACGACAACAAAAAGCTTGTCAACGCAAATTTAGTGGTAAAAAAAAAACGAGAAAAAGTGGTGGAAATTTGGTTGAAGCAGTTCAGTTACCTAAAACGACACCAAATCTCCCCAAATAGATTATTCCATACAGCAAAAATCACGTTTTGATCCACCATGAGTAAGTTTCAAAGTCTTTACTAATTTTTACTCAGGCTAGAGAGCAGGCTTCGTAGAAGCACAATCAGAATACCCCCTAGCATCCCTACGCAGACCCTCTTAGGGCTTTGCACGGGTTAATACCCCTAGCCTTCCAAAAATCCCAGAGAGAACACTGTAGGGGTGTGGATTCGAATATAATTGGAGTTTCCTTTTTATTTACAGCCAATCTCCAAGACAATTTTTATGAAAGTAATTTAAAATTGATACCGTGAGCCATGCTGATCATCTTATCCAGAAGATTTCTGGTTTGTTTTGTCCAACTGTGTTTCTCCTCGTAGCGAATTCGCAACGCTTTAGCCTCCTCAAGACGAACTTGTCTGTCCTTTTTCCATAGATTTTCAATGGCTGCAGCCCAAACCTGGGGATCCTCAGAGTCAACCACATATGACGAACCAAATGGTACCTCACTCAGGGCTTCTCCGAAACCAGAGTTCTTGCTGACCAGCAAAGGAAGACCAGCTGACAGGGCCTCAAGACCTGTCAACCCAAAGCCCTCAGCTCTTGAAGGCAAAAGCACAACATCGACCTCATGAAACAAGCGTTTCAAATCCACCCGCTTTTGTATGCAGCCTCTTACTCTAAAGAATCTGGCAGACACACCACATCTTTTCAACTTTTCTGCAATTTTGTTGCGCATAACATCTGGCACCCCAGCAAACACCAGACGAGTCTCTTGCAGAAAAGTGACAGCTTTTCCTGCGATGTCCCAACCTTCCAAAGAAAAGTCGTCTTCATCTCCACAACCAAACACCAAGACTTTGCGAGGTTTCCTCTCGCGAGGACTTTGTTCTACAGTTGCAAATTCACGAAAAATGCCTGGGGTGAATTCGACGACATTGTGATCTTTCTGACAGCTGCGGAGATATGACCTAAAAGCCTCGCACAACTTGGGTCCAACCCCTACAACAAGATCCGCTATTTCACATAGTTCTACTTCAATGTTGTGACTTCCTTGACCTTCTGCCGTTTGGTTACTGTGGGATTTGAAGATTTCTATTTCCTCTGGATCGTTGTGTACTACTTGAACCCACTTGCAATGTTTGGACTTTTTAAGGACTTGTGCATGGCGGCCGAGTTCCACACCGTAACCAACGACCACATCCATCTCCAAATGTTCTGGAGGGTAGTTAAGCCATACTGATTCATCAAAGCCAGGACACCTTGTCGCCTTAACAATTTTAACGTTGTTCCTGAGGGCTTCCTTCTCATCCTCTTCACTGCATCCTACTAAAAAGGTAGTAATTTCCGACTCAGGAAATTTGGCAAGCTGTACGGCCAACTCTTTGCTTAACGTGCCAATTCCTCCATTGCTTGACCCCCATTCTGAAGCCAAAATGGTAACTTTAACTTTTTTGGAGTCATCAACTAGGTCTTCTTCCTGAGACTGCTGTGAAGCGGATGCCATGACCAGCGAGTGGCCGGCACCTTAAAAGAAAATCATGTGCACATGTTAATGGAGGATTGAAGGGTTATTAAAATGTCAGCTGCCACTCACTATTCACTTTCATATCTTCATCTTCTACGGGTATATTACGAACTGAGAGAGTGACCATCAGCATCCTCGGAGACCCAGGGGCAGATACTGGGGGCGAGGGAAAGTCTAAACGGCTGCAAAAATATGGCACGAAGAAAAGTAAAGAACGGCGAGAAGAGCCCCTGGGGACAGTGTCTTACCGTTCTGCCTTCTGATTGGTGCCAGAAAACATTTGCGTTTTTCTGCCCAATCAGAAGCCAGAACGGCGGCGACCGTTTGGAACTGGTCTGGTAAGACACTGTCCCCAGGGGCTCATCTGGCCGTTCTTTACTTTCCTTCGTGTCATATTTTTCCACCCGTTTAGACGTTCCCTCGCCCCCACTAACTGCCCCTGGGTCTCCGAGGATGGACCATCAGCTTTCAGCTGGCATGATAGCTCAGTGATAAGAGTACTGCTTTCAGGTATCGCTAAGGCCATGGTTTCGAATCCCGCAAAAACCTTATTGTTTTTCAGGCTTTATTTTGTAACTGCTTAAGCTGCGTACACAACTGGCATGTCTTTCACTAGTTACAACTGTACTTAACGCGTACTTGTCTAAGGGGTAAGTGAACTCACTACTTATACCATACCAGGACGAACCCATCATCTCGGAACATCCAACTAACAAAAGGAGTGGGTCCAGCACGTTTAGCTTTTCAGGCTATTTTCATAATCACCTTTCACATCAAATCAAACCCAATCAGAGCAGAGAGTTATTTCCGGTAATGACGGCGAAAAATCACAAATGTCAAGGAAAAGGAGTTTCTCTTGTTGGGGAAACTTGATCTCAGCTAATTTTAAACCTTGATATTTTTTGAATAATCGATTTTAAGATTTTAAAGTTTTTTACTGATCAATTAGTTAAATTAATGCATGAGGGCCCCACCGAAAACCGCCTTGGCGAGTTGGGCTCCCTCTATAAATATTATTATTATTATTATTATTATAAACTTGGAAGAGCAAGGATCTTCTCAGGGGCGGATCCAGGATTTTTTTTAGGAGGGGGTGCACTCGTCTCTTGCTCTACTTCAACACCAATAAACCACATAGTTTTTTTTGTGCAGAATACCAGTTGTATTAGAAAACCGCAGATCATCTCAGTGGGGGGGTGCGCACCCTCCCCTAGATCCGCTCCTGCTTCTAGTTAAGAAATCTACCGCGATTTGTATTAGATTTTGTGGACATTTTGTAGCAAAAGGATTAAGGAAAATGATTGCAGGTCTTTTGTGCTGTAACTCGTACAGTATATGTAGGAAGGATGCTTCGGAATGATGGGCTTCTGATATAATTAAATGACAACTTCAGTGCAAAAAAAACAGGATCCTTTTTTATCACATTTACACCTCAACACCCATAACCACCCATGAGGATCCATGTCCCATGTTGTCCCCTGTAGCACTTAGTGCTCTTACCTACCTCAGCTAATGCAGCATCCACGGGCTAGGACTTCACCAGCTTAATCCTCACATCACCAGTACTCTTAAATTCTGTTTAGCTTTTCAAACGTTTTGGTAATAAAACCTCAACCAGAGAGAGCCTTGAGGAGCTGTCTACAGTAAGAGACTGTTTTGTATGAAGAGCTGCTGCAGTATGGTAAAAGAGAAAAGAAAAAACTTCTCACTCTCTTCACGTATTCAAGAACTTTTTTATTTAAAAAAAATGCAAACATCTCAACAAACCAAAGACTAACCAGAAATTTTAGGAACTGTTTATAAAACTGTAAATTAAAATTGGAAAGATTTAAATATATACATTGTATGAAGCGCCTGTAAGTCTTTTACATTTAATTAACTTAAGAGACAAGCTGTAACCTCACAAAAACTGACATTCTTACTTTACCAAAGGTGTATACCACCACTCACGGTCTAAGGGTTACCATGCACATTTTTTCAGCATGAATTGAACCGTTTATCAAAATAATCATGTCTGATTCCGTTGAGATCACCCTGTGTGTATATGTTACTGGTTAAAGTTGGGGTTTAATTATTAAACCTAGGTTGATTCTCACTTTACTTTCTCTCCTAGCCCTAATTCATGAATAATTACTGTTAGGAGACAAAGTAAATTGGAAAAAAGTATCTTCCAGTAGTCCAGGACATTTTCTTGCTGGGCAAGTATCTTTTTTAGCTTACTTGCCCAACAGACAACAGACAAGGGTCCAGGAAAGTCATCCTCTAACAAAATCGTCAACTAAGAAAGGCAAGAAGTGCTCTGGACAAGCAAAATGTCAGAGCCTTGTGTAGACCTAAATACTGTTTCCTCGAATCAGGGCTATCTGTCACTAAGATTTCAAATTGCAGGGTACATGCAATTATCAGGCAGTTTTCATAGTTAGCCGCAGAAATCCGTACCACCACCACCCCCCCCACCAGCCCTTAGTGACAGCGCCATCAACACAAATAAAACATACATGTATTTGCCCACTCTCACAGTGTGATTACTCGAACCAGGCCAATATGAAGTTAACCAATCAAAACATTTATCAAATCAAAGGTTCTGAAGTTTTTTAGTCAGTGCACCAATAACATTTAAATATGTTGACAATTCAAACGCTAACAAATTGACCTTGTTGACCTCTCAGTTTGGTTAGCATTTTGAATCTCCCTTGATTGGCTAAGGACCAGGTTCGCAGCAACATGATGCAAGTTTAGAAAGTTTAAAAAACATATTTTCTGTTACGAGTAAGTTTCCAATTTTTCCGTACTGTAGTTCACAAAAGATGAGTAATAATTGTGTTGGATCACCTAAACGAAGGCATGTAACAGCTCCTATTCAATACTGACAAACATGTTAGGTAAAATGACAGATTGATAACACAATCAAGATTAGATAGAAATGATTGGATTAAAGGCTGGTTTCAGTTTTCTTTGTACTGTCACTGCTACTTGATGACTGAGTTTGCAAGCACAGTCAAACCTTGTTAATACAGACACTAAAGACGCCACAGAAAGTGTCCATGTTAACAGAGTGTCTGTATTAACCAGGTCATTATTATTATTTAATTCAACAGGAACAAAATACTAAAGAAATAAAAGAGGACATAAGCATTGTCAAATTATCATTCACTGACCTTCACAATGCTGTCACTCCACAGATTACATGTAAATAATAAGTAATAATACTACTACTAATAATAGACACTTTTATAAAATAACTAAGATAGTACGCGCGCTCTGATTGGTTGAGAGGAGTGTTTGCATGAGAGTATGTAAACATGGTTGTGGCGTCAAGTTGTTAGGCTTTTCGCGCGCTAATCACGCAAGCACAAATTTGAAAAAGTTTTTGAGTTCAAAACTCGACAAGTTTACTTTATCTACCCATTCCTTCGTCGGCTGAAACATGGAAAATCGTTCCAAAGAAGGTGAGTCAATTCTTTTTCGCTTAAACTGACATTTTAAGCGAGAAAAATCCATATTTTGCAAAGCATCTTTTTGCAAAACAAGAACTGATTACGCATGCAAGACTTTGTGGACAAGATTTTGCAAGTGGTAAGAATTTCCCTTTAAATCAGTGGCATACAAAGACTTTTGCGTTTTTTTCTCAGGAAAGTTATTTTATAGAAGCAATAGAAAACTTTTTTCCTGTGTTTGCATAGCCTGATATAAACACTTGAGGCGTTGGGAGAATTCTCGACAGTTATGCAAACCCTCAACTTCATCTCGGGTTTGCATAACTGTCTCGAATTCTCCCAACCCCTCTCGTGTTTATATCAGGCTATGCAAACACAAAAAACATTTTCTATTGCTTAAATATAGCACGGTATCCACTAATTGCTCAAAGCGCTGTACAATAATATGGTAAGAAGCTAGAGTTAAAAACTATTATAAGATCCCCAGATATACTCAAGAATCTACACAAACTGTATCATTTTAATATACTACTTAATCAAAACTGTTCTTTGCATAAATATATTTCAAGTGAAAATTAATAGTCTAAAATTGACTTCTACAATTCATCCTGTCCCGTTAACTGAAGTGCTTGGAACATTGACATGTTGACACCTGAAGGTGTTTTTACCTTTGAAAAGGAAAGGCCTACAAGTATTACAGCACACATCTGATTATAAAGACAAGTGTCCACATTAGCAAGGTTGACTTTCCGTGAGAATCTTTTGATTGGGCAAGAAACGGGTGTCTGTTTTCAGGATTAACAGGTGTTTTAAGTAGGTTGCATTTAGAGAAATTTTCATGTTTCCCTAGAAACAAAGAAAATAAAACTATCTGTAATAACAAGGTGTCAGTATTAAGCAGGTGTCGAAAAAGCAGGGTTCAACTGTACATGTTATTGTTTACTGGTCTAACAAGGCTAAACTTAGGTGGTCCCTTATGAGATTATTTTGTGAGACATACTTTTAGTTTAATTAGTATAGGGTGTTTATAGTCAAACCCCATTAAAATGGATACTGAGAGGCCCACTCATGTAGAAAGTGTCTAAATTGAAAGAGATTCTTTCTTTATGCAGGCCATACATGTAATATTTCAGCCAAAAATACATTGGAAAATAAAACTAATATATATAAATTATTGAAAACAATACTACAGTTATAGAAAGGACATTAGAATCATCAGAAAGTTTTTTTAGACCAATAACAGTACTGCTCTGGTTCTTTCCAAAGTAACTGAGAAACTTGTTGGACATCAAATAGTTGATTACCCCAAACTTAATCAATCTTTAAAGCAAACTATTGCTGGATTCTACAGAGGACACTCAACTGCTACTGTGCTATTATGCATCAGAGATGAAATCATTAGAGCCATGAAAAAGGGCGAACTTACTTTAATAGTATTGGCTGATTACTAGAAAGCATTTGAAACTGTATTGTACTCTGTTGTTATCCAGAAGATGTTTAAATTGGGTTTCTCAAAATCTTTTCTATATTGGATGACAAAATACCTACATGACTGTAATGTGATCGCCTTCAGTACATCCAAATTGATGATGAGAAATCATTACTGGAACACTTACATTTTGGGGTTCCCCTGGGTTCAATTTTAAGCCCGTTATTGTTTAACATATAAATTATATTGCTGATCCACAGGATAACCTCAGTGACTCCATTTCTCGTTATTAATACACTGATGATACTATGCTTTACAAACAATGCTCTGTCAAAGATCTCACACAAAATGTTGCTGATTTTAATAACTCTCTCAGCCATAAGGCATTGAGGTCTTTAAAGTCCAATCTTGCCCTTAATCCAATGGAGACTACATGTAAGTCAATGCTGTTATCAACAAGCCAAATAGCTACAATCGGCGACAAAATGAGTTGAGACACTTCGCCCAAAACTGGGCTTTTTTACGTTTTATTAACTTCAAAAGGAGGAAATATAGCTTTCCTCCCCCATCCCCTCCGTGCAATGTTGTGCCCTTGCTCTAGCTACCTATAGAAAACAACAAACACCCCAACTTTGAATGGAGGGGACAGGGGAGGGGTGCGGATTCTTTTGTTCTCCGAAATTACCCTATTTAAGTACAATGTCTCAACAATTTTGTCGCCGATTGTCTGAATCTCAAAAGTGGCCGTACATCCTTTAGAAAGGTAATTGAATTCATTTCTTTATGCCGGGATGTAACACCTCTGGTGGCTTTTTATTTGTTGTGTTCGACTTCATCATACCTATTTTAGAACAATTAGAATAAGGCGATTTCGTTATTTTCAGTGCGTGACATTTCGTGTCATGCTTAACCATGCCTTGACATCGTGCCATGTGGCGCGTCGCACACGATTTCTTATTCTCTCCTTTATCGAAACACATCGAAACAAAGAACAAAGTGAAAAGGATGGGAAACTTAAAAGATTTCTAGGCATTAAAGTAGTTATAATGGCTAAAAGTGCTCTTTAGAAGGCCACGAGTAACCACGATGAGTATAAAATAAAATAATCTAATTATCTTTTAAGAACAAAGTTAGTTACTCGTGGCCAGTCCCCTCCTGACCTCATAGTTTCTACTATAAAGTACATTCTTCAAAGACCCTTATGGGTATATGGGCAACAAATCTGCTGCACAGATTTAGCGATGCTATGTGGCTTTGCTGTGCGTTAGAAGTTGGAACATTTTTCCTGAAAATTCTCCTGCGGATAGCAATCATGGCTATTTTATCGTCCATCCCACCCTTATCAAATAGCCAAACTTCGAATAAACACTTCGAACTTACTAGGGATATATTCAGATACAATATATTACCCGCCATCAATTCCTACCGATCACACTTAGTTACCAGAGGAAAATCAATCATTCGGTACGTGGGTATGCTGCGTAATTACTTGAAAACACTACCGAGTACAAAGATTGTCGAAACTAACTTTCCCTTGAAAAACACAGGAAAGGGATTATATGGGTATCTTATCTATCTTCTGAAAAACGACCCGGTGTATATAGTAATCTCAACTAGTTACCGTCTCCTAACCGGTGCTAATAAGACAACAGCGCGTAGATTTCGATTCAGACAATTGCGACAAAATGAGTTGAGACACTTCGCCCAAAACTGGGCTTTTTTACGTTTTATTAACTTCAAAAGGAGGAAATATAGC